AAACACGACAGACGTCGAAGATCGATGGGCGATGCGGCCCTGCAAACCGCAATCCCAGTAAGTGAAAGAATTGGACGAGCGACAGTTCCAGACTTTCGTTTATTCGTCCCGTCTCCTGCACAAAGCACAAGGGAAAAAAACAACAACTATAAACTAAAACATTTGAGTGGGCTTGCAGTGAAAGCAGATGCACAGAACACAGCAACCGGGGATGCTGATCACAAAGCCGGGATGAACCTTTTTCTTTTTTTCTTTTTTTGTATGAATTAACTTATGTTAATGCAAAAGTGACAATTGCGTCAGAGGACCAAAACGGCGAATTCCGTTTTGCTTTGAGTTTTCTCGGATGGCGTTTGGTTTTCGCTGTATACTTTGAGGTAAACAATGGGCAAATGAAAATTGCGGGGGCACCACTAGCCGTATGTAAGGGCTTCACATACATATAGATACGTGCCCCATCATAACCTTTTTCTTTTTTTTTTAAATTCCATGGTACGAAAAATGGCGTTCCCTGACTAAAAAGAAAGTGCAAAATTGCCGTTTCATTTTTTTAATCTCCTTGGTATAACTAACATTCCCTGCCGGAGAAAAACAAATCCAAACTTTCCATTTTGCTTTTTGGGGGCTAAATAAGATTACTGAACGTAAAATAATAATTAAAAAAAAATTTACACCATTGTTTTACGCTCACCACCCTTTGTTATTTCAAAATTATTTTCTTAACCTAGTCTTGCAAAAAAAAAATGAAAAAAAAAAATATTGCCTATTGTAGTTGTTACAAGTAAGAGGAAGCAATCGCCTTGCTTCGAAACCGTATTTGTTTAGCATTATATCCTGAAAGATGTAAGTAACCAAAAATATCCAGATGAATGAACAACTTGGATCGAATGAAACAAATTCCACGAAGCCCACCACCTTTTGTTATTTCAATATTTTTTTTTCTTAAATATTCTTGCGCGTTTCGCAAAAAAAAAAAAAAAAAAAAAATTATATTGCAGTTGTTACGAGGAAGCAATCGTCTGGCCTCGAAACTGTATTTGTTTAGGATTATGTCCGGAAAGATGAAAATAATCGAATATATGCAGATGAATGAACCGTACTTGGTCGAAGGAAACGGAACGACAGAATCTTTGGCGGAGCCGGGATTCGCCTTGTCTTCCTAGGTTTCCTATCTGCCCCGTTGATGCACCGAAACAAAATGCTTCCAATCAGAGGAGTTTTGGAAGCACGAGTCGTCGCATGGAACGCTTATACGCGGTAGGGTGGTGCTCGTTTAGCCCCAGAATTCCCCTCACTGTTTGTGTGCATGGGCGCCGCCATAACTGACCTTCAGTTTTTGTTTCCTCTTATTCCATGTTCTTCACTTCGTCATTACCATAGCAGTCCAGGTTTTTGCCATCTTAGATTCCATTGTGTCCTTCTTCCCAGCATTGGCCTTTCTGGAGGCTTGTCAACACCCGTTTCAGTGGTTCGGTATCGCCGAGACAAGGGAAGGTCAGCAATGGCGACTGTATTCTGGCGCGTGTGTAAAGCCTCTATACCTGTGCTATTCCTTGTTTGTGAGCTTTACAGACACGGTATCATCACCTGCGAGAATCAAGATCCACGTTTGAATATATCACGGGCACTTTCGTCATGGTACGTGGTCTCCAAAGGGGAAAGAAATGATCGAAACTATGCAGACGAATGAACCGCATTTGGTCGAATGAAACAAATACTACGAGTCTGCCAAAAAGGACGAAATCTTTGGCGGGGCCGGGATTTGCAGCAAATTCGTAAAATTTTGTTTTACTCGACCAAGTACGGTTCGTTCATCAATCTTCCTGGCGGCTCCTTAGGCCTCTGAATCCAGGTTAGCGCCGCGTGGTCTGTATGAATATCAAAAGTCGTACCGTCTATATAGAGGTCAAATTTCTTTGGCGCGAACATAACGACCAACCCCTCCTTTTTCGTTACGCTGTAGTTGCGCTCCGACGGTGTGAGTGTTCGGCTAGCGAATGCTCCTGTAACAGCACCGCTCCAACACTATAGTCGCTCCCATCCGTTTGTACAACCAAATGCCGGTTGAGATCTGGCAAGCGTATGCTAGCTGTGTCCGCTCTTGCCTCCGCGAGAGATGCAAAAGCCGCGTCTTGTTCTCGCCCCCAGACCCGCCTTGAGCAGTGGCGTACCAACTTGCTTTTGAGTGGGGGGCAAACCAGACTCACCCCCCCCCCCCCCCCCCCCCAACCCGATGACCGGGGCGCGGTGCCCCCGTTGGGCGCCACCGGCCACTGTTAACATATAAACAGCCGCCCAGTGGCGGCTGTTTATATGCCTTGCCCCCCCCCCCCCCCCCCCCCCCCCACTCTGGGAACTGGGGGGGGGGGGGGGGCGGCAGGCGCACCTTTTGACCTCCCCCCGGTGGGTACGCCCATGGCCCTGAGCCTTTCTGAAGCAGCAGGTTCAGTGGCCGTGACAGCTCCGCGCATCTAGGAATGAGCTTCCGATAAAAGCAAACCATCCGAAGTAACCTTTGAATGCCCTTTACATCATGTGGTGCTAGATAATTGAGGATGACCACCGACTTATCGTCATTCGGCTTCAAGGTTCCGTTGTCAACGGTAAAGCCTAAGAGATTAAGTCTCGAGGCTGCAAGTTGCACCTTCCCTGGGTTGATCGTCAATCCAGCCTGCCTCATTCGGCTCAAAACAATTCCGAGGTGAGTGAGGAGCTTCTCAAACGACTTGGAGAATGCAACAACGTCGTCCATGTATGCCATGGCAAAGTTAAACTTGGAGTTCCCCAGCACGATGTCCATCTGCCGTTCGAAACTACTCCCTGTGATAGGTGAACGCCGTCTTTTGGACATCGGCTGGCGGTATACCTGAATCTGTAGGAAACCCCTGCTACAATCAAGCGTGGTGAAAACCCTCGCGTGCCTATCGAGTACACGATAGACTCAATAGATAGAAAAGGGTGCGCGTCCCTTTTTGTCATCTGATTAAATCGACGGTAGTCAATGCAAAGGCGCGCTGTGCCGTTCTTCTTTGGCGCTGAGACCTACGGGAATGCCCAGGGGAAATGCCCAGCATCTCATCGAAAGCCGAGTAGAGCTCTCTTGTGCACGATCGACGGTCTGGGGTTACAACCCCACAGCGTATCGTTTCCCACGTCGATTTCGTGTCGTAAAACATTCATGACCCCCGGCCTCTCGGTGGCTTTGGGAAGCATCCACCGTTGCTCTTCCGGCCCCTGAAAGAAGCGAGGATCGATCTGACATTTGCCGGCGCGACCAGCGCAGCTAACACGTGCCCCTGGCCTGGTGTCCAGCGAGCGGGCATTCCGTTCCCTCCACCAATTTCGGTGGGGCAGCAAAAGGACGGGTCAGCGCGTTTTAATGATACCAGTTTTTTTTTTTTTTTCAAGCCTATAGAATCCTTTCCTCACGACAGACGAAATCTGTCCAAAGATAAAAGGATAGACATGCACGGCAGGTAAACAAAGCCCTGTCGCCTCCGTCTGCCGTCGAGGCCTAGGTGAAGGTGTACTGCGCCTTGCCCCTCGGCCGATTCCGCCGCTAAACCAAGCGTGTTACAACATCCCGTACGCAAAGGTTGCTCTTGCGCCGCCGTTGGATCTTGTGTACACGGGCATCGTTTACTGCGAACATGTATGCTCGGAGGACTACGGAAATAATTCCTCCAAGAATGAACGCGAATTTGCGAGGTGTGCGACTCCCCTGGGTCGGTCTAAAGCAACGGCTGATCGATCGGGCTCCAAGTTGGGCGCCAAATTAATGTGGGATCTTTCCTCCTTATACTACTCCCGATTCGATCAAGCCACGCTCCAGTCGCTTTCAAGGAAAGACAACACAGCAAGTTCAATCAAACAGGTTATTAACTCACATGCCATCGCCTCAAGTCCTGTTCCCCTCCGGATGCGGCAGCACCTTGTCGGCTCCCTCCCTCCATGAGAACTCTCCTACCAAAAACTCTAACCGGAGACCGTCAACTCAAACTCTCCCCACCCACCGCCTGCTATCTCCTTAAATGACCAGCCCGACTCTATTGCCTCCCTTCCACTCACGCTCCAATCGAAGATCTCATGGCCATATAATGCCACGGGCACGGCCGAGTGCCATGGCGCCTCTCTGGTGAGAAATCCCGGCTCGGCACTGTAAAGCGAACCTCAGGTAGGTTAGCGGGGTATGTCTGCTTCGGCACTGGGGACGATGATGGAGTCCACGAGTGTTCACGTCGGCAGGGAGTGTGGGCTTCGGCACCGGGCACGTGGACGCCAAGGCAAAGGGTCTTTACAGATGGTAGTTCGATCCTGATATGTTGGCAAATAGGAATATAGACGTCAGACATGGTAGCCCTGTCGATCTTTTCGAAGATACGCTATCAGAGAGGCTCAAGTATTCCCATAAACATTTATTTCGTCTACAAACGCTGCACTCTCACTCGCTTTCATCCGCTGGAATTTATAAAATAGGCACCGATAAATGTAGAATTCATTTTATTAAAAGTGAGGGCTACACCAGGATCTTGTAACTAAATTGCGAAAAAATGACTAAAAGGCAACTTTTTAATAAAAGAAAAAGAAACGAACGGCAGATATTAGGTCAACAAAGTAAATGTGGACAACGCTTCGCTCGTGACGTCCTGTTTGTCCGTGACGTCAAATCTATCTGCAAACGCCCGCCCCCTTCCACCAGGTCTGATGACCCACTATGTTTTTCTGACCGAAACAACAAGTTCCTCGCAGCCGGTTTCAGAATCGCCGAGTCTCTCGAAGTTGGCGTCGGTGAGCTCTCCGATGACCACTTCGGCCGTCGTGTAGATCTCCATCTCAACCACGTGACCGCCGATCACGTGACCGTTGACGTCTCCCAGGCTGGCGTGGAGGTGACCTCTGTCATTTCCCGACAGCGTACCGGTGAGGGACAGGATCTCCATGCGCTCCTTTCTCGTCTCTGTCTGGAAACAGAGGCAGGGTTCAAACGTTTAGCGCTAGGTGGCGCTAGCTACCCCCGATTCATGTTACAGGGGCGAATTTCATTTTGTTTTTTTCTCTCTCTCCCTCTCTCTCAATCATGGCTATGGCGCAAATAGGATCCGAGACTACATCCTACCGAGACCACCCGGAATAAACCACTTTCAAAAGTGCGCGCCATCTAGTAGCTATGCAAAATTTCTGTCTGCTATCATCATCATGACACTTGGAGCCACCATATTGGAGGGGTTTTACCATCATCCAACTGCATCTGCGTTCAACTTACAATTTCCATGATATTAGGAAAACGCACCTGGTTGCTTCTTAGTTGCAACGAAGAAACGTTTCATCAGCCGAATGTTCTCTCTCTCTCTCCCGAACATTTTTTTATCACTTTCTGACCCCGAATTTTGCGAGTGTGTGTATGTGTGTTGGTCATACTGGTCACACCCCTTTTTATTTCCCCTCCCCCGTTTTTTTTTTTTTTTTTTTTTTTTTTGCAAATGACGATGCGTTTTTATTACTGCTTTTTAGAGGGAAAACGGGTTGTGTTTGTATAATGGTAGTGAAATACGTGTAGTGAAATTTCACAAGATGGGGAAGGAAGCTGAAAGTTTTATGCGACCAGGGATTTCACTATCTCAAAGTACTGAAGTTTATTGAATAACACTTGTTTACATGTAGCTGCAAAGATATCTTTCGATACCGGTGTTTTTTTTTTTCTTTTTTTAATTAGTGCACGTTTTTGTTCGGACATTATTTATATTAAAAAAAATTAACACAGTGATCTTAAACTCTGAATTTGGGAGAGTTCGAAATTCAACAAAAATAAACTGCGATTCTCTGAATTTTGCATTAACACAAAATAAACTCCGACCCCCCCCCCCCCCTCTTCACCCGTATCCCAGGTCATAAACATCGCGCAAATAACTAGCCCCCCCCCCCCCCTCTTCACCCGTATCCCAGGTCATAAACATCGCGCAAATAACTAGCCCCCCCCCCCCCCCCCCCCCCCCACACACACACACACACACGAAAAAAAAAAGAAGAAAAAAAGTTTGGTTAGGGTAATGCACGACGCTCCATGCACCAATTCAGTTTCCCCGCTAGATTTAGCGGAGAGACTGATGTCATGCCACCTACACACCAGGTCAGTTTCCCCGATAAATTTATTGGTAAAACTGACGTCACAAATCCAACTTTTTACGCTAAATATAGCGGGGAAATTGATGTCAGGAAAGTTTATTACGATTGCGATCGCAAATTCGTCTCGTGCACATAGATCACGTTTTCGTCAATAAACAATTTTAACACGGCGAAACACCTTTTTTTTTTTTTGTTGTGTTGTCGGCACGGACAACAAAATATAATAAAAAACCGGTATAGAAAGTTGCGCTCACTAGTTTTAATAGACTACTTCCATGAAGCCCTGCATGCAACACCGCGCGCATTGCACTCTGGGAACTAGTTGGCCAGGGAGGAGAGTGCCATGGTTTCGGTATCGATCGACACGTCGACAAGAGATTATACACAGAGCGTAAACTATAAACGGCCGTCATTTTATGTGTTCTGGTCCCGAGAGCGTCATTTGTGGTCTCGAAACTAACCTAAATGGCCAGACCTCGAGGCTATAGCACAAGCCCGAGACGTATAGGTTGTCTTAACACATGCTTGTTGTATTTTTGAACTTGAGCCTTTCTGTTAGCGTTTCGAGGTATGTGGACGAGCCAGTGCTCGGAATGTCGACGCTGCGAAGCTCGGGGATCTTGCTTGTGCACGAATAAACAAGCTGTAGATTCCAGTAAGTATGCATACATCGAGCTCGCGCCTTTACATTATAGTGTTGTTGATCAGGAAGCTTGTTTGTTTCGTGCGTCGACATAGACGAAATATAACTTTTTGCAATTACTGTCTTTCTTAATACGCCTAAGTACGCGAGGTAAAACTCGGAGGCGCCATTGAAAAGCTCAATTTTAACACACTTCTTATCTTTTATCTGTACTGCCCCGCAGCACTGCACGAATTCGTGAAGTCCCCACCTGCTTGCATTTCACTAATATTCAACATCGCGTATGCGCGTAAAGTTATCCTGCAATCATATAGGCACATTCGCACGTGCAACCCGTTTAAAGAAAGTAAAAGTCGAGCACTTGTGTGAAGAATGTCGCACCATTCGGTGCAAGTGCGCCGAACGGGCATGAACCCCGGCCGGTGCGCCCAACGAGCGAAATGATTCAAAGCGCATTTGACGGTTGCTAATGGCCATAATATTTGTTATCTGTTTGCTTTCTTCCTCACTGAGTATGCCGAGATAATTTCAGACACACCGTTCAGGCACAGATCTTGGGCTTCAGGAAAAGGTCGCCCAAAAAGGCTTAGCGAGGAGTATAGGGACGCTTGCTATCCTCTGTCGTAGCTAGCCGATCTCAGCGTTTGCGAAAACTTGATCTTCTATCAGCATAAAGTTTGAGTGTGAGATAAGAGATGACACGAGGAAGACATCATAGTAACTTTTGTGCAGTAGTGAGGTCGAATTTATGGCGTTTCCTTAGAAGTTAATGTGCCAACGCTGGCTCAACTTCGATAATCCTGCGAGGATGCGGCTTGCTTTTCGCCCAATGAAGTATCAAGAAGCGGACGTTTGGCAGAACAAAATACGCGTAGTGCTCAATGTGACCAAATTTCAGTTGTAGTTCACTGGTACTAGACTGGATTATTGACACGAGCTCAAAGATGCACTGGTGGGGTGAGGTGACTAATAGCGAGTTCGTTTCACGGCACTCGTGCCCACGCGTGCCCACTCGCAGCGTGGAACGGGTTCGTTTCGGCCGGCACTCCACGAGTGGTTGCACTCTCCGAGTTCGTTTCAGCACTGACACCCCACGCGTGCATGCACTCGCTGCACCGAGAAAATCGGGAGTGCGCCAAAATGCAATCCCGTCATGCCTCGCTCTGGCGGGGCCGGCGAGGAGCGGGAGCAGACGACGAGGGTTCGTCTGCTACGATGTGTCGCGGAACCGAAAGGAAAAAAAGGTAGATTTTCTGATAGAAATCGCATCCCGCGGGCAACGGAATCAAACGCGGGCTTGAATTGTGAGCGTCTGCTATTTCCCGAAGGAAGCAATTGACAACCCGTGATTTATTTGCAGGTTTTAAATCGCTCTGTTGCCGCACAAACGCTGAAATATACCAGTGTGTAAAGAAATGCTCAGAACAAACGCAACAGCGGCCCCCGAGACGTCTATCACCATCCGTGTGCGGGTGAAAAATTTAACATTTTTCGACAAAACTCCCCCAGAAGAAACCTCTGACTGCCCAATGAGCATCAGAGAAAGCTAAAGATGGAGACTTTATCCGAGGATTGGGCAACATCATCATGTTTAACATTTACCTACGTCAGCTAACTTACCCCGTCGTATTTTGCTCGAGAAAGCTCTCATTCTCGACGCCCTCGCCAAGGCTAATATCTAATCCTGACGATCCAAATCGAAAGTCCAAATCTGGGAGAGAACTCGAACGGTGCCAGTGCGTGTGAAACGAACTCGCTATTAGCCACGTCTTACTACGTTTGCATACGCACGCACAATATCCGGTGTTTCGGGAACCAAGGAAAGTTCTCCGGTCTTCGTTTCTGTATTGCTCGAGAATGAGTGTATTGTACATTCGTCAAAAGTCAGATAGTCGAAAACGCAAGCAGCGCGTTCGGTCGCGGCGCGATGGCATGAAATGAAGCAGCTCAGTCGAAACCGAAACTGAGTGGCCAACTAGTTCCCAGAGTGCACTACGTGGTATTTCGCCGCGATGGGGCGCGTCGGTTTTGGAAGAAGTCTGACGAAAAAATAAAGTGAAGAGAGGGGGCGAAATCCATTAGCCAACCTAACATCGTCATAAGCCGATCCGTAAGCCGAGCCTCCCGCGCTCCGCTGGCTCCGCCACTACAGCTGACAGCTAGCTCGCGCAGTTCTTTGGTTTTTCGTTAATTCCGGTAGTGCTTGCTTGCTCTGGTTGTCTCTCACGCTCGATCCTCGTCTGCCGTGTTCACCTCTACGCCTGCGAGGGATTCTGGATGCCGTGTTGCGCTTCCGCCGTCACTGTCACGGCGGTATGGGTTGATCTTGGTTCGAGCGTCTCCGGCTCTTGAGAAGGCCGTCCGTCATCTTCGTCGTAGACGCATTCCGCGAGCTTCGGTTTGAAGACAGGCTACCGTACCGTACTACGTCTTCAAGCAGGCGTTTGGTTGATGCCGGCGACGTGATCAGGTACCTTGTGAATGTGTGTCGGCGTTACACAGAGTGCTTCGTTGGCCAGGTGACTTGCGCGCACCGAACCACCCCAGTGAGAAAGCGAGTCGGCGCTGCAAAGTCATACTCTACTGCGGGGGACAGAACCATCGCCAACTTGCTCGTCGTGGGGCAGACCACTGCCAAGTGATCGCATCCCTCGGATGCGATTGGCCGAAGATCGTACGGTGAAACTATGGGTTAAACAGACACGGGATAACCGAACACGAATGCCACCTGTGACATCAAGTTTCAGCACCAGCGGCTACCAAAGCACAATAAAAATAGCAAATACCCTTTTTGCAAAAAAAAAAAAAAAAAAGAAAAAGGAAAAAGTTTATTGTAACGAAATACGATTTATTAAAAAAAAAAGATGATGATGTTTGAACTAGTAGAAATAATATCCCGTTTCAAACCCACAAATTTAAAAAGAAAAAAAAAATCGCTTGTCTTCCTTTTACTGAGTGTCACTCAAAACTAACTAATGTAGCTCCTGTCAACATTCTAAAGTTATTCGTTAACTCGCTTTAATGGGAATAAAACAACTGGATTGAACATCTTCCCAATTGTGCATCCTTGATGAGTTGAAAATGACTAAATAGCTGTTTCTAAATACGAGACAAGAGTGCCAGCTTCTAGCAATGTAAATACCATGTTTAGAAGCGATAGAACGTTCTCCATTCTGTGGAGTTTCAAAGAAATGT